GCGTCCTATGCTATCATACACTGTAGCTGAAAAGCTGACCCATATATACAGTATTTTTCACTCCATAGGATGCACCTGACCATAAGAAAGGCCTAGATTTTTTAGAGGAGGAAAGCAAGAAAAAAAATTCTGAACCAATGGACTGCGGGCATAGTACAGGAGATGACCAGAGACTGCGGACACCGTACAGGAGATGACCAGAGACTGCGGACACCGAGTGCAGGAGATGACCAGAGACTGCGGACACCGAGTGCAGGAGATGACCAGAGACTGCGGACACCGAGTGCAGGAGATGACCAGAGACTGCGGACACCGAGTGCAGGAGATGACCAGAGACTGCGGACACCGAGTGCAGGAGATGACCAGAGACTGCGGACACCGAGTGCAGGAGATGACCAGAGACTGCGGACACCGAGTGCAGGAGATGACCAGAGACTGCGGACACCGAGTGCAGGAGATGACCAGAGACTGCGGACACCGAGTGCAGGAGATGACCAGAGACTGCGGACACCGAGTGCAGGAGATGACCAGAGACTGCGGACACCGAGTGCAGGAGATGACCAGAGACTGCGGACACCGAGTGCAGGAGATGACCAGAGACTGCGGGGACACAGAGTGCAGGAGATGACCAGAGACTGCGGGGACACAGAGTGCAGGAGATGACCAGAGACTGCGGGGACACAGAGTGCAGGAGATGACCAGAGACTGCGGGGACACAGAGTGCAGGAGATGACCAGAGACTGCGGGGACACAGAGTGCAGGAGATGACCAGAGACTGCGGGGACACAGAGTGCAGGAGATGACCAGAGACTGCGGGGACACAGAGTGCAGGAGATGACCAGAGACTGCGGGGACACAGAGTGCAGGAGATGACCAGAGACTGCGGGGACACAGAGTGCAGGAGATGACCAGAGACTGCGGGGACACAGAGTGCAGGAGATGACCAGAGACTGCGGGGACACAGAGTGCAGGAGATGACCAGAGACTGCGGGGACACAGAGTGCAGGAGATGACCAGAGACTGCGGACTTTTGGGGAGGGGGAGTACCCGAATTTGACAGGTACCCGCTCCCACTTGCGCTGAGTTGTCCTCCTCCCCTCCTTCCCTGTAGTCTTGTGGGACACATGAAAGGTCCCATAAGACTACAGGGCCATTCACAAAGTGCAGCGCTTCTCGCGCATGCACAGTGGGCACCCGGCTGTGAAGCTGCAAGCTGTCACAGCTGGGTGCCCACACTGAAGATGCCGGTGCTAGGGAGAGAAGACAGCCGGTGAAAGCAGGACACCGCTGGACCGAGGAGCAGGTTCTTCTGCACAGTATAGCTGAGCGGCTGGCCCGGTATTCTAACACGGATGCGGCGAGGGGGACAATACCGGGCCGGCCACTCCATATTCGCTCCAAGGGATGCACAAACATTTTCCCCCATTTTTTTGGGGGAAAAAAGTGCGCCTTATGGAGCAAAAAATGCAGTATGCGTTTCTCCCGACTTGACTACTGCAATGCTTTACTCTCTGGTGTACCTAAATCCACTATTAATTGACTACAATATGTAAAAATGTCTGCAGCCAGAATACTGAATAGGTCTGGGGATTTGAAACCCCCTCAGCTCTTTCCTCTCTTTGCAGGGATGACAATACGGGCTAGACAGCTTCTGATTGGTCAGCACTGTGACTGTGCAGACCAGTCAAAAGCCATCTAGCCCATACTGTCATCCCTGCATTAAAAAGAGAGAAAGTAGCAGAGATCTCAAATCCCCAGCTTTTCCTCTGTGACAGCATGGGTTTAGTGCAGGGCGGTTTTCTGCACCACTCCTGTGTGAACTCAGGCTATGACAAGCCTGGGTTGACATAGGAGCAGTGGGGAAACCGCATGCGATTTGGACAGGAATTGCATTCCTGTTCACATTGCACACTATTCTTTGCTTTCCAATTTGCGTCCATGCAAACCACACCGCACAGTATCGGTTTCAGGTATCGGAACATTTTTGAGAGTACAAGTACTTGTGAATTTACCCTGATGATCAGTGTAGATGTCCCCTCTGAGGAATGCCGATTACCGGCTCTCCTCTCCTCTGTCAGTGTGATAGCTCGAGAGGAGAGAAATGCCGTTAACCGGCATCTCCGTTTACATGTGATCAGCTGTGATTGGACACAGCTGATCACATGACCAAGGCTACATCTTCGGCTCTTTCCGTGATTGGCGATCGCTGTGTCCGAGGGACACAAAGAATCGCCGGGCATGCGCGGAGAATGGGAGGACGTCATATGAGCCAATCGTGGCAAGTGATGTATTAGCAGAATACATTTTGGCCTACATTTTATGAAGAAATTTTGTTTTTGTTTTTTTTTTTCTACTGGATGTGTTTTGTAGCAAAAAGTAAAATATATTTGTGTTTTTTTTTTTTTTTTTTTTTTGGTTGATGGTGCAAAAAATAAAGAACGCACATGTGATCAATTACCACCAAAATAATACTGCATTTGTGGGGAAAAAAGGGCATATTCCCATTCGGGGTGCAGCATTGCATGACTGCGCAATTGTCAGTTAAAATAATGCAGCGCCGTATCGCAAAAAATAGCCTAATCAGGAAGGGGTGAATCCTCTGGAGGGCAAGTGGTTAACCTCTTCATACCACCTGAGGACAATCGCTTTACTGGGTATATGTAAGGGTTGACCACTACTTTAAGACATCCCCCAAGTATGGTGTGTTGTTTTTTTGTTTTTTTTAATTTGATCGGTACTTGGCCTCCTGGCAGCTTCCCATACATTTACCTTATTAGCTGAATAAATGGCCAGAAGTGAACACTATGATTTGCACCCTAGACTTTTTAATAGGATTTTCACTGCATTCCAAACAGGATTTGCTGAACTTTTGGCAAATTGAACCCAGACAGATTTGGACATCCCTAGTGAAAGCTATAGGTATGTTCGTCATAATATGATATGTTAAAGTAGAACTATAGCATTTTTTAATGCAGGTCTGCTTTAGAGTGATATTTTAACCCTTCTTTTAAACTTTGTCCTACAGGTAAGCTTATAATAAGTCTTAGCCATGGCTATTTTTCTCAGTCATTAGGCGCAGGAACTCCCCTTTTTCCGAGTCACCACTTGTCTCCATGCCCACTCACCTCACCTTCGAGCACCGTTCCTTGGTGCCACCCCCTACCCACCTCCCAGTAATACCCTTTTAGAGAATACAGAGCCAAATATAATTTTATGATTCTAAATAATTTTGTATATAATTTTGTAAATGACAAGAAAATCAGAAAAATAGATCTCCGTCAGCCAGCAACAATAGACCCTTCCAGAAACCATAAACAGTCCACAACAAAATACTCCCCCAGCAACAATAGCTCCTCCCGGGAACAATGGACAGCCCCCACCAAAATACTCCCCCAGCAACAATAGCCTTTTCTGGGAACAATGGACAGCCCCCACTAAAATACTCCCCCGGCAACAATAGCCCCTTCCGGGAACAATGGACAGCCCCCACTAAAATACTCCCCCCAGCAACAATAGCCCCTTCCAGGAACAATGGCCAGCCCCCACTAAAATACTCCCCCCAGCAACAGTAGCCCCTTCCGGGAACAATGGACAGCCCACAACAAAATACTCCCCCAGCAACAATAGCCCCTTCCGGGAACAATGGACAGCCCACAACAAAATACTCCCCCAGCAACAATAGCCCTTTCTGGGAACAATGGATAGCCCCCACTAAAATACTCCCCCAGCAACAATAGCCCCTTCCGGGAACAATGGACATCCCACAACAAAATACTCCCCCAGCAACAATAGCCCCTTCCGGGAACAATGGACATCCCACAACAAAATACTCCCCCAGCAACAATAGCCCCTTCCGGGAACAATGGACATCCCACAACAAAATACTCCCCCAGCAACAATAGCCCCTTCCGGGAACAATGGACATCCCACAACAAAATACTCCCCCAGCAACAATAGCCCCTTCCGGGAACAATGGACATCCCACAACAAAATACTCCCCCAGCAACAATAGCCCCTTCCGGGAACAATGGAGAGCCCACAACAAAATACTCCCACAGCAACAATAGACCCTTGACGCAACAACAGATCTCCCAGCAGCCAGATCAATAGACCCTCCAGTAGCCAGCAAAAATATACTCAACAGTAGATCCCTCCCACTAACAACTGACCCCCTCTTCCCTAGCAATATAAGACGCACCCCCAGCAAAAATAGATCCCCCCACCAGCAACAATAGACCTCCCTGTAAAAATAATCTCCTCCAGCGATAATCGTTCCAACAGCTGTCATCAATAGACTCAGCACACATCATCACCCCTTACAATTCAGTACTGGAGGTGCCAGAACTGCATTCCTTTACATTCCTGCTGAAAAAAAGCCCTGATCTTAGGTATATTGGAAAAAGCCTAAGGGCCAGTTCATACTACATGCATTTTTAGTTGCCTTTTTTTCTGCATCCAAAACGCACAGAAAGTAGGTTACATGGTTGTCAATGCCATAGTTCACATCAGTGCTTGCAGTTCCAGTGTGTTCCGGTTGCAGAAAAAAGTAGAACATGCTGCATTTTTTTTTTCTGCACAGAACTGTACTGGTACGCGGTAAAACGCATCACCGGAACTTAGCAAATGCACTTGAACGCACCTGTCCTTATTTCAATTGAAGAAAAAGGGGAAAAATAAACTAGCATGCATAATTAATGCACTGGAGCGCGTCAAAAACATGCATGCAAAAACGCATCCGGAACGCACCTAGACTGCGTTTCTATAATGTGAACCAGCCCTAAGTCTGTGCCATCTAGTAGATACTGCCATTGGTTCAGGTAGATGACGTCTGCGGTGCATATGCAGTACACTCGACATTCACGGCACACTGAATGTGTCATGATTGCAGATAGCGACGTGCCACAATAGTGATTCCCATGTGCAGAAGTGATGTCACTTGGCCTGGCTATTCAATCGGCCTGAAAGAAAACCAGGCTAAGATGGAAGTGCTGGGAGCAGTGCAGGGGCGGACTGACAACTCATGGGACCCCCGGGCAATAGGGGATCATGGGGCCCCTGTGTCCTTGCCCACACTCAAAAAAGCCTATAAAAAAGGTACCAGGGCATTTCATGGGGCTCCCTACTGACCCCGGGCCCTTGGGTAGTGCCCGAGTGCTTGAATGGTCAGTCTGCCCCTGGAGCAGTGACAGCTCAGCGTTGGAGAGCTCCATTGCACAAGTAAGACTGTAATAACATGCTAATATGCGGTGCATTCTAGCACATTATGGCATCATCCTCCAACCACCACATTTATCGAGGGCAAGCGCTGCTGCTGGTCTGGATTATGTACATGCACGTGATCCGGCACTTCGAGTATAGGGCACAGGCACGCCCTACCCAATTTTTGTGCTGTGATTTGCTATAGCACAAGTTTGGCCAATCACAACAGGGCACCCTGTGTTTACAAACAACACAGGGCTCTGTACACAGAGAGCAGCAATGTGGCCACATCTATTAGGCCCCTTTCACATGGGCGTTCCATGTGTCCGTTTTTCATCTGTCTGTTTACGGATGAAAAAACGGACACCCATGTATTTCTATGGACTACCGGATGTAAACGGATGGCCATTTGTTTACATCCATTAATGTCCACATCCGTTAACATCCATTTTTTTTTTTTTGAACGGAAGAAAACCCTCTTTCTCTTCCGAAAGAAAAAAAAAAATACGAATGTAAATGGACATACTTTTCGCTTTTGCATTGGTTAAGGATGTAAAAAAAAAATGTGAACTGATGAAAAACAGATGTGAACTGATCCATTTTTTTTCTTGGAAAAAATGTGACTGAGCTAATGAAAAAAACAGAAAAAGAACACCCATGTGAAAGGACCCTAAGGCTGCCCATGCACTATACAATTTTCTGCCCAATTTCCTTTAAATTTTCCTTCAGCTATGTAGTGCAAGGGCCTTCCTAACTGGATACAATTGAAAGTGTTGTTTAGGTTTGACCTCCTATTATATGTTTTGTGGTAAATCTAAAGCAAAATTCTCAAAAGAATGGTATAATGTATGGCCAGCCTTCATAAACGCGGCATATATAACACACATTGTTGGGCACACAATTAAGCCCCTTGATTGTCCCTATATGTTAATCTCTTCTCAGCCAGTGTCATTAGTACAGTGACAGTGTACAGTATTAGCACTGATCTCTCTATTCATTTCACTATTGATGTCAGTGTCCGTTCACCAACCAGCTAGCGCCAGATTGTTCTCCGCACTATCACAGTCTCGCCATAAGTCACTGATCACCATCTTTTATCACAGACCAGGGGCGGACTGACCATTTGGAAACTTGGGCACTGCCCGAGAGCCTGGGGTCAGTAGGGGGCCCCATGAGATGCCCCTGGTACCTTTTTTAACATAGGCTTTTTTGATAAAAAAGAACAGACAAGGGCGCACTCTCATCGTGCATTATCGTGGTACACCACGTGTTTTAATGTATGAACAAATGGATGTATACTCACAAACCAACAAAATTAAAAGCCGTGTATAGGGTCCACAAAAAAGTCAAAGGTGCTGTCTAAATGCGGATAAGCTGACTCGTTTCGGGGGCTGAACCCCCTTCCTCAGAGCCCTTGTCTGTTCTTTTTTTACCAGTGGCAGGGCAGCACCTCTTCGGTTGGCATCCAGTTATCTTTCAAGTTTGCATGAGGATTGGAGCGCTCGTTTCGTTTGTTTGCTTTTTCATAGGCTTTTTTGAGTTTGGGCAAGGACGCAGGGGCCCCATGATCCCCCTATCGCCCGGGGCCCCCATGAGTTGTCAGTCCGCCCCTGTCACAGACCTATCACAAAATACATTTTGGCCTAAATGTATGAAGAATATTAGATTTTTTTTTCATTTATTAGATATGTTTTATAATAGAAAGTAGAAAATATTTTTTTACAAAATTCTAGTTTTATAAAAAAAATAAAAACCCCAGAGGTGATCAACTACCACTAAAAGAAAGTTCTATTTGTATGAAAAAAATGGCATAAATTTAATTGGGTGGAATGTTGCATGACCGCCAGGTAAAGTAGCACAGTGCTAAATAGCAAAAAAATGCTCTGGTCATGAAGGGGGGTAAAACCTTTTTGAAGTTCAAGCGGTTAATAGCTCTTTAACCCTTGTTAGACCTGTTGACTTCTCGGTTGCTGCCGTGAAAAAAATAAATGGGGTGCATACCTGTAAAATAACCCTACAACCAGTATGGCTCATTTCTCTTCTTCCTCGTATAATACACAAAGAGGCCCATTTAAGATGGGAAAACCGATTGCAAAACATAAAGCTTATTTACTTTGCTGCCTGCCATGTGCAGCTGTCGTCAATTATGGGTTCACATGAGCCCCATTCAGTGGTGCAGCTGTATTGTCTCTCGCATTTAGCGCGGTGTGTGTCTGCTGAGCCTCTTTAAATCACACTTATTGTAGCAGAAGGAATAGCCGAAAGTGAATCCGCACCAGCTAACACGACAAGAGCAACCAG